TTTTAATTCTTGATACCGATTGACGTTTTGCATTTGTTTTGTTTATCTTTTTATGCTAGTTAATTAATTTTAATATAAAACATCTGACTTCTTCTTCCCCTGGACCAACAAATAAGAAACATATCCAGTTGTGTTTTTTTTTTTTTTTTTTTTTGTAAATTCCAGTTGTGTTTTTTTATATATTCAGAAAAAAACTTCTTCGTATTTTTACTTTTATTTTTTTAAGGGATTTAAATTTTTTTAACTTGCCACACTCAATAAAAATGGGTGAGTCCAACTATTATTTTTTTATTTTTTATCTTTATAATAAAACTCACTCACTTTTATATAAGTATGACAAAAAAAAATACAATAAAAACAAAAATATTTTTTCATTACAAAAATATTCAAGGTCAGGTTTTGGGATTTGGCGTTTTAGAATGGTTAAGTTGCTTGCAGCCTCGTTATTTAAAAACTCAATCATTTACAAACTATCATATCATATGAAATCATCCCTCCATAAAAAATTGACTTGTGATATAAACCAATCATATCTTACATTACGCGGTTTCTCAAGTATGTTTGAGCTCCCATAATTGATTCGTAGGACTTCAAAACCAAAATAAATATCCTTTTTTCTCGAGAGACAAATATCCAAGAGCATTATTAAAGAACCATATAAAAAAAATCTCCGATTTCGAATATGCACAATGTAATTTAACTTATAACCAGGTTTTTGAACTGTTGAATGATTAGTTGGCAATTCCATATCGTCTATCCTTGGAAATATCAACACGATTTGGTCGGGGAAATCGATTTAAAAAAATTACATAAATAATGCATTATTTATTTTTATTTCTTTTATACATGTATTATTTAAATTATTTGATGACATAATAGAGCTAATTCCGTACATGGACACTTCGGTAAAATGAAACAAACAGAATTATTGAAACACCCTTCATTATATCCCATATCCTTAGATAACTTTATTTTCTGTGACAGAAGAAACAATAAGCTCTAAATTTATATATATATATATATATACACACAATAGCGGACCTAGAATTTTTTTTAATATCTGCACACTTAGAATAAAAGAATAAAGGAAAAAAATTTTAAAAAAAACTTTAACTTAATATAAAAAAGTAATCAAGAGTCAACTAAACTGTTACAATAGAATATTTTGGATTCTCAATAAAAATTACGGGTCTCAATTTAATCTTTTAGGGAAAAAAAAAAGTCTACTCGTGATCCCTCATAAGTCAAAAATAGATTCAGATAATCAAAATCATGCATGGTCTTCTGAAATTCAAAAAGACCCACATTAATCCCTTAAAAGAACTAACATGGGTCTATTTTGAAATTTAAAAAGATCACGAGTTGATTTTTTTTTTAAAAGATTAAATTGGATCCTGTAATTTTTGTGTTGATGACCCAAAATATTTTTTTTTCCCAAAAAATTTGTGTGTGCACTTGCACATACTTGCACTCAAACAGGTCCTCCACTATATATATATATATATAGGAAAAATGATTTGGAATGTGACTGCATATAAGCATTGGTGTAGTCACCTAGAAACTAGGTCGTTTTGGGTGGGAAAAGTAAGTTTGCATTCAAAATTAAATGTAGAAAATGAAAATATTATATTTATTTTCACCTTTGTATGGTTATGATTTCTCATATTTATGTTTTATATTTATTTTCATCTTTGTATGGTTATGATTTTCTATATTTAATGTTTTCACACTATAAAACGACGGAGTTTTATATCACTGCACCAATCTTTAGGTGTAGTCACTGTACATCCGCTAAACTCATATATATATATATATATATATATGTGTGTGTGTGTGTGAATTATTGCATGTAAAGTGTATTTATTTTATGTTTTATTTAATGTCTTTCAATGAACAGTGTCTTTTGGAATATATAATGCATACATCATTTAAAGTTATTGGATTTAAAAAACACTCCAAAATATATAATTCAATCATAAATTATCATAAACAACACTTCAAAAATTATAATTCAATCAAAAATTATTGACACACAAAGTTTCAAGATATTCCATGCACATGGGAATGTTTTTTTAATAAATAAATAATATTTTTTCAATAAATAGAGACTAGATAAGCATTAGTCATTGCTTTAAAATTGGAAAAAAATCAAAAGTGAAGGGTCTTACGAAATTTTAGAGAAAATTTTACAAAGAGAAAAGGAGAGAAAAATAAATAAATTAAGAATGAAGAAGCTTGATAATAAGAAAATATATTAAAGTAAATGCCAAGGGTAATAATAACTTCTTTCTTTTAAAGTATAAACCACATGGAAGTGTTGCATGGTTATTTTATTTTACCTTTTCTCTTCTTCCCATAACTGATCCTGATCATTTTATGTTATTTATTTCAAAAATTTATATTTTTTGTAATTTATATTTCAACATTTATATTGTACAAGTTTATATCTTCACAATTTATACCTCAACAATTTATATTTTTTCACTTTTTAATTATATACGTAAGTACGTATATATTGTTTTATAATTTAGCTATCTATATTTCAGCAATTTACTTTTATGCAATTGTGTTATTGCATATTATAATTATATATTTTAATTTATATTGAAAAAAATTTAAAATTTTGCAATTTATAATTACTATGTATAGGAACATATATGTGAATAATATCATATATGCGATAAATATCATATATGTATATATTTAATTGTTGATTTGTAATTATTCTTATTTTTAATGTTGGGTTTAATATTTCTCTAGTGACTAGAGATAAAATTATCTTATGTTATGGACCACTTATGTGGCACCCACTTTCTATCCTCATTACATGGAGCATCTCATTCCATCACTCTCCCATAACTTCCATCCACTACCAATAACCACCTATTAAGCATTGCATCATACCATTAAGTCACCTGCAAACTACCTACTAGGGGCAGAATCTCTTAGTGCATTCATCTATATATAACCCCTTATAGCTAACAAAGGGGATCATATCATAACTCATCTAGGAACTCATCTGATAACTTATCTTGGCCACCATGGCTACAACCTACATACTTGTGCCCAGAGCACATCTTATTCACCGCAGGTGACTCACACACACACACACACACCTATTTTTCATACCATCGGACTTTGACCTAAGGTGCAGAACTTCTCATTGCCTGTCATCTTTACCATAAGCTCCGTAGATACAAATACTAGCTATCCTATTAGAGAATTAATATTCACTCCAGAACATATTATTTATCAAAAAAAATTTATCTCCGATGAGATAAAATGACGTCGTTTTGGGAAGGGATATTGGACAACACTGAAAGCTTTTTCATTAGATTGAAAAAATATATTTTTATAATTCTAATAATATATTAGTCTTTATCATTATAATTTCTTAATCTTCCAACTCTAAAATGTCGTTTTGGTTTTATTGGAGATAAGTTACTCCCATTGATGTCATTAAATCCATTAATGTTATGTCAGATTAAAGTTATAGTATGTTATGCATCATAATTTTTTTTATATGATCCTTTTTTAAGGTATTCACATATTTATCTACTTAAAAAGTTTATGAAATTCCTCATAAAAATAATTTAAATATACGCGTTATCAATAAATCGGGTTTATTGAGTTAAAGAACAAATTTCACTGAGGTAGGGAAACACTTTTACAAATTAAAGAGCTTTAATAAATAGATAAAATCTATGCTTACGAAAATGACTTGCCATATGAGAATTTTGTTATGCACAAAACATTATACTTTTGTGAAAACTACATAATATAAAATTGATAATAAGTGGAATGAATGATAAGGATCACGCCACGTATAACATCAGAGTGATATGTATAGCCAGCTACAATTGTGCTCACAGGCCTAGATCTAATGAGTTGCAAAGGTTAGTATTCAACTCATGATATAATAGTTCTACCCTCCGGTATATGGAATTGGTTGCATCATTTTAACAAATAGTCCAAATTTTGCATATTTATGTTATTTATTAAAAATAAATAAATCAAATGGTTTTTTCTCTCGATTTGATCATAAATAAAAGTCTATATTTGATAGAGAAAGATAAAATTAGAGGTGTCAATTTAGATCAACACAAAGACCCAATGTGTGCAGCTCAGTTGGTAACTTAGCGCTGAGTTAGTGGGGCTGGATATGTGTTCGATTCCCGCTGAATGCATTCTTGGGGAGGGGGCTGAACCTTTAGCCATCACTGTTCCCCCGCACTCCGGATTAGTCTCGTAGCCGGCTCAAAGAGTCGAAGCTCGTGGAGATACCGGAGGGAGCCAACTCGTCTCAAAGAGATAATTAGGGTTGGGTAACTCCAAAAAAAAGATCAACACAAAGAGATTCGACTTCAATACAAATTGTAAAGAACCTTGGGATACACCACCTTAAAAGTTAGTTGAAAGGGTGAGAGTTTTCAAGGCCTTATAAAGGTCACATTAGTTACTCATACAACCAATGTGGGACTGTATATCTCAACACGTGAAATTGCATAGACCCAATTTTTTTGTGCTTTTTATATTGAAAGTGGGGGCCCATAAGAATCGAACTCGTGATCTTATGGTCACTCAAGCTCTGATACCATGATACACCATTCCAAAAGCTAGGGTGGGAGTGCCCAAGGCCTTATAAACTCCACATTAGTTGCTCATACAACTAATGTGAGACTATATATCTCAACAAGCCCAAGACCTTATAAACTCCACATTAGTTGCTTCATACAACCACTGAGACTATATATCTCAACACAAATATAAATACATTTAATACAAACATTACACAAATTGAAAATTGAGTTAGAATATCCAACATAAATACAAATACGATCTGCTTTTTAGTTCAGGTTTTATTAACCCAATTACGATACAAATTTAAAAATGAATTAATCTGAAAATAAATTTTTTATATCATGTTCGTATATTGTGTTAGCAAATCGTATTTATAGCTATCAAATCTAGATACGATCGATCTAATAAATATCATCCCATAGCATACATCCACCCTTCACCTCAAATTGCCAAATTGCCACGTGTATTCCCATATCAATGCTTGAGCCTGATGTAATTGCCGGTCAAGAAAGGGCGCATTTCAAGCCCGTCAAAAAAGATTGCTATTGTCAATGCCAGCCCTATCCTCTTCATTTACACCACATTACATACTTACCAAAATATTTATAAAATTAAAAAAAATTCAGCCACACACTTCTCCATCTATCTATATGTATTCTTTCAGCACACTAGCTAGCAGACAAATTTTCACTTTCAGCAATACTTTAAAGTTTCAAGGACAAGTCACCAAAACAAAAGAAAACAAGAGTTCATTATTCCATCTTCCGAACTTCAAAAAAAAAAAAAAAAAAAAAAAAAATCAACCATGGATAGAAAAATCAGTTATCGGCATCCTGGGCAAGATATGAACAGCCACCGCTTGAAACCCTTGTGGCAAATCAACCACCCAGAGTCTAGGCGGCGCCGCCACGACATCCACCATTGAAATCCCACCACCACCAGAAACAACACAAACCATGCCTCGTCGAGCAACCATTTGCTCAGCACCTTTAAGCCTCTCAGAAACCATAACCTCCTCCCAAGCATCTCGTTCCGCAACATACTTGCTCAAAACACCCTTCCCTTCATCCACCACATACATCACCTCCTCCTCCATCGCCGCCACCGGTCCCCTCCACCCACACAACATTCCCTCCGGCATCTCCTTCCACACATCCTCATCCACATCGTAAACAACCCCTTCTTTCGCAGCATCACCTTTCACATTCACCATGCAAAGCTTCCCCTTCCACCCAACAGCATCAATAGCTTCTCTGCTAAACCTTCCATCTTTCAGTTCCCTTTTCTTCTCCCACTCCCCATTCTTCGGGTCCCACTTCTCCAACGACCGTGCCACGTCGACAGAGAACTGTGTCCCGATCCCGCTTGCCACGTAGACTTCTCCCCCGCACGCGCCTAACGCGCACCACCGTCTCGGGGTTGTTATGGTGGGGCCAGAGGTCCATGTTTGAGAGAGGGGGTTGAAGATCAAGGGGCGAGAGAGTGCAGGGTAGAGGTTGTGGGTGGTGGCGGCGAGGAGGATGAGTTTTCCGGCTACGGAGATTGATTGGATCGGGAAGTTTCTAGAAAGGAAGGAAGGGTGGCGGAGGAGGAGGTGGTGGAGTGGTGGGTCCGGTGGCGGTGGAGGGAGGATTTTCCAGGTTGTTGAGATTGGATCAAAATTGTAGAATTGAATTGAGTGTGGTGGAGAGTGTGGTGGTCGTGGTGGTTGAGGTGGTGGTGAGAGAATGGCGTAGAGAGAGAGAAAAGGAGGGAAGGAAGGTGAATATATAAGGCGGCGCCATGAGTGGCAGATTGTGAAGAGAAGAGAAGGGTTAACTGAAGAGAGACAGAGTTGTGCTATGTGATCAGGAAGACCAGGAATCAGAGGGTGGTGGTTATGGAGAAGTTTTTGTTGTTTGGATGCGTTGGCCATGGAATCGTATTGTGAAGTGTGTGTGTGGTTTTGGTGTTTTATGTGAATGGAAGATGCTGGGACAAAAAGGAAAGAAAGTAGGGTTTGGTTTAGGTTGGTTAGTTGGTGGTGTGAGAAAAAAGAGAGAAGGTTAAAGTAATGTGGCATTTGAAAACAAAAAGGTCAAGTAAAGAGAGGAACAGTGTATGTTTCAGCTTTTTGATTCATTAAAGGACATGTTGCCTTTCCAACTGCTCTGCTGGCCAATAATAATAATGAACATCCTAAAAGCTATATATCTCACCAGATTTGGACAGTTTGCTAGATGACATAAATATGCAAAGTCTTTTTTTATAAATTATTGTTATTTTCGTACTTACTTTGAACATGCTTTCAAAATTATTTGATAACATTATCTTCAGGGTTTTTTATTTTTTAATTTTACATGAATTTAAGGAGTTCGGCTTTGCGTGTCGTCAGTTTGTCTCACGTTATGATAAATGAGATGTATACCATATTCAAAGTTTCAAACTATCGATACCATAGCACTTCACGTGTTAGTTTTTTTAGAACATAAGTTATAAATTATAATTTAATTTTGGATAAGGATTATATATATTTTCTTCTTATAATAAATATTTTTGTCATTTATTAAATTTGTAATTGTCACTGCTAAGTTATTGTCTAAATGAATTTCATTTTATAATTAGAAAATTTATATGAAATATATTCGAGTTTAATATAACTTACGAGAGTAAAAAGGATTCAGAGCATTTTTATTTAAATATCACTGAAACTCTAAATTTATGCTTGGCAAAAAGTGTGTATTTTATATCTAAATAATAAAGTAATGACATTATTCAAATAATAAAAAGCCAAATATACCTAATGTTTTGCTTATCATTGAAGCCTCCGTTGGACCACAGGCCATACTGAATCCATTCCTGCCGTCTATCACAATAAATGTAAGCACTCAAGAAAAAGAAAAGTAGGTTGCTTAGAGTGACAACCAAGGAAAAAAAAAACTTATAAACAAAAACAAAGGATCGATACATTACAGTTAGGGTTGGCAAACCGGGCCAACCCGGCTCGACCCGACCCAACCCGTATTCAGCCCGAAAAAATGGGTCGGGTCGGGTTGGCTCGAAAAAAAAAACGAGCCAGAAAATCCAACCCGGCTCGAGTTAAGGTTGGCTCGCGGATTGCCTCGATAATCAGTTCGCAGCTCGTAAAAAAGCTCACGGGTTGGCTAAAAAAAAACTCGCGAGTTTGCTCGAAATAATGCTAGTGGGTTGGCTCGCGGGGTGGTTAGCTCAAAATATTGGCTCGCGGGTTGTCTCGCGGGTTGGCTCAAAAAATTTAATTTTTGTGATTTGTTCTCCTGTATAAAATTATTGTATTTTGCAGTCCAATTACAAGTAATCCAAAAACATTAAATGAAACACAAACCACTCCATGATCACAGGAGTCAGTTATCATGATTTTCTGAATTACTCTAACTCACGATAACCATAAAACGTATATAAAGCCAAAAAATAAAAAATAAAAGAAATCCATTATATATTTCAACGATAAGCATCTAGACTCAAAAGCCAATCATGAAAAAAAAGGACATGCAAAAGCGACCAATATAGCAAAGTCCATCAGTGGAGAATCCATCAGTACAGTCCATTGTATTTTATTAAAAAAAAAAAAAAAAAAGTAACTCGCGAGCTGGCTCGTTCAACTCGTGAGTTGGCTCGTTTGAGCTCGGGTCGAGCTAAATCGAGCTGGCAGCTCATTTTTGCCAACCCAACCCGACTCATTTTGTGCGAGTTACGAGCCAACCCGACGGGTTGGCTCATTTTTGCCATCCTTAATTACAATCAGTCAGTCATTACTTATATAACAAAAGGTAGAGGTGTCGTTCTTAAAAATAAATAAATTTATAATATTATTTCTTTCTCTATTTGACACGTGACTTTATCATATAGAGGCCTTCCCATGAGTGCAAAGACAAGCCTTCCTTTTTTTGGTAAAGTGCACATGTATGTTCTCTCGCTCATCAATGCATTAAAATGCAGGCAAGAATCTAGACTAGATGTTATCATATCTTCTTCTTCTTTTTTTAAATTATCATCATCTCATGTGAAAAAAGAACATGCTCTGAATTAAAATAATTATTTCCTTGTATCTGTTTAATAAATGCTATCACTAATATTGCGAATTTGCGATAGTTATCTCCATATATTGAGACGAAAAATTAGAGAATCCATATGTACCCCATTGTGCGCGGATGTAACAAGATTTTATTTTTATTTTATTTTTATTATATGCCAATGCCATGTTCTGTTTTATTCTCATCAAATATAGAATAAAATAAAACTTATACAAAATCCATGAAGGACATATTGAAGGTGTTTACAAATAGGGGAAAAAAATCAATCATTATTTTTATAATATTATTTGGTCGATTTAATTTAAAATATAAATTTGACCTAATCTTATAAATTATATAAATTTGGTTTTATTTAAATCGATTTTTTTTGGTAAATTATTTAAATCGATTTGAAATTGATTAATTTTTTAATTCTTATTTGATTTGTTTTTATATATAAGTTTATCAAACTCATCAAAATATACAAATTTAATTATATATGAAATATAAGTATAAGATAATTCATTAAAATATACTATTGCAAGTTAAAATAATTAAATTCATTCAGATGTCAATACAAATTCAAGATAATATGGAAAAAAAATATAGATAAAATATTAATATATATATATATATATATATATATATATATATAGGGAATAACATCTATCCTTTTAAAGGATATAAACTTATATCCTTTTAGATCTTAACCGTTGATTTCTGTCCATCAACGGTTATAATTTATTGGATTAAAATTATTAATTAATTAATAATAAATTTGGCCCATTAAGTTTGGCTCAATAGATTATAATCGTTGATGGACGGAAATCAACGGTTAGGATCTAAAATGATATAAACTTATATCCTTTAAAATGATATATGTTTTTCCTATATATATATTATATAATTTTGGTTGGATTTGATTTAGATCAGTTTTTGAATTTGGATATGCTCCAAGCCTCCAACCCAATTGATTTTTTGTAGTTTTCCATTTTTCAGTTCTTCAATTTTTTTTGGTTTTTAACACGATTTTTTCATGTTTTATTGGATTGGTTTAATTTTAAACACTCTGATCATGGAAGGGGCTTGTAAATTGAAAGTTTCTATCAGCTACACATGGCTTGAGTTTAACCTAGCTTGATCTACCCAATGCTTTGATGGGGTTAAGTTTTATATATAGTCTATATATGCTTAGTTAATGTTTAACTAGGATTAGGTACGGTCATAATTTAGAAATTACACACAAATAAATTATGAAATATTAAAAAAAATAAACTAAGAAATGTTATACAGTATATATTTTTAGGGGTTTGATTTTCTCATGTTGCATGAGAATTGAATTCTCATGTTGTGACTCAACTATAGTGGTGGACTCCATATTTATTTAAAAAAAAAAATTGCACGCAAATCGAAAGGTCACAACATGAGAAAATATTTTTCTATATTTTTAAGAGAAAAACTATTCTCATGCTATATGAGACAAGCTTTTCCTCCTACACATTTTTTGATAACTGTGTCACATTTTTTTTTCTTTTTTTTTCAGCTGGTGAAGCCCATAAATTTGTCTCTATGACATGAGATAATTTCTCTCCTTTAACATGAGATTAATAAAACCTTATTTTTAAATACATAATATTATTTCAAAACATTATCATGCCTTGCATAAAATAGTAACTTAATATTTTATTTTTATTTTTTTGAAAATAAAGCCATGTCTTAAATCTTAATATATTACACAATAAGCCAGGAATGTCAGCTTACACTAATAACTCGAAACGTGAGTCAGGTCTAACTAGATTTAAAAATAAAAATCTGCTTTTTAAGATCCCAAGCTAACTCAATAACTTTAGACAGTATTGAATTAAAGGGCTGTTTGGTACACGAATTTTTTTTGGATTTTTAAAATATTAAATTTTTTTAAATTTTAAATTTTTAAATATTATCATAAACTGAATATAAAAATTATATTTTTAAAAATTAAGATTTTCGGACAAATAAAAATTTATTGCACCAAACATCCTCTGCGAGAACGGGGCAGTTGTGTCCGAAACACCCCTAATTCAAGGTACCCAAATTTGCTACATACAATACAACAAGAAGGAATGAGTTAAGTTTGGGAAAAGGTGTTGGTGTTGACATTTGTGTTGGCGTGCTACACGCAAAGGGAGAGATAGACTTTTGTCAGTGGTTCCCAAAAGTACCTTTAAGAGCACGCATGCTGCTCAAATCACGAGTGAATCTTTTGTGCTATGTTGTTAAGTACTACTTTTTACAAGTACTTATTTATTAAAATTAAAGACTAAATAGTATTTTATGTGAGATTAATAATAAAAATGTGAATAAGATAAATATATTTAGGTGGTTTTTTTTTTTCAACTTTATTAAATAATATACTGAATTTGTAATGTTACAGCAATACTAAAAATATTTTCCTCAGCGTAGTAGCTTATTTACTTCTCTTTAACGTTCACACATTGCTGTTCATTTAATTTTTTAAATGGTAGTTGAGATAGTAAGATTTATTTATGGAAAATATATTTTTTACATTACATGAGATAAAATTATCTTATATAATACGTAAAATATAGGTGAGATCTATTTTTTTATTTCTATTTTTTTTTTGGTAAATTATTTCTCTTTTTTTTACTTAGTGGATCTCACCCATTTTTTTATTTATTACAATAGATAGAGGGGCAGGATATACTTACCACCAAAAAAGTTTACAACATTTACAATCAATTTAATTACTGTTGATTTCTGTCAATCTAACGGTTATAATTTATTAGAAATTAATAATTATTAATAAATATGACCCAATAATTTCCAATAAATTATAACCGTTAGATTGACGGAAATAAACGGTGATTAGATTGGTTGTAAAGGTTGTAAACTTTTTTGGTGGTAAGTATATCTTTCCTCATAGATAAATTATTTCATACACATGAGAAACATATTCTGCATTTTTACCCCTCATTAATTAATTAATAATCATTTGGCCCCTTATCCAAAACTATCTACCTATCTGCCTATCTTTAATTGATTAACTTAAATATTTAATCGATTAAATGGTCAAAATAGTCAAAAATGGTTGACTCGATATTTAAGCGATTAAATCTCCATCTTTAATTGATTAAATCTCCCAAGATAACACTCGAATTTCATTTTCGAGT